GCCGCGCAACCCCCGCGCGGAGCCGCGTGGCGAGCGCGGGGGCTTTGCGAGGGGACGGCTCCCCCCGCACCTCCCCCAGCTCGGCCGCCACTCGTGCCTTCGTATTTGCCCACGGCGCGAGGCGTCGCCCTGCGTAGTACGAGCGTGTGTGTGTTGGGAGGGATATGAAATGCAGCGAGAGGAGGGAGGGGGAAGGGGGGACAACGAGCGTGAGGTTTAAAAAAAAAAAATCAAAAAATCCCCCTGCACGCATGTTGACCACAAGAAACGACATATCCCCCTGCCCGACTCTCCCTCCTGATAAAAATAAAGCTCGCTCCCGTTGCGGGGCTCGTGAACGGCAGCGAGCAGATGGGGCCCGGCGGGTTCGCTCAATTCCGGCCGAGAGGGAGGTGGGCGGTTTGGCCCGGGTGTCTCTGCGTTCCGGAACCCCTCATTATTGCAATAATTTTAACAGCCGTGTTTATAAACAAGCGGGGCGTTGGGAGAAGATTCTCCGCGTTTGGGGAGCGCGGATTCTGACGTTCGTTCCTGGGGCCATAAAAGGGGCTGGGGGCGGGGGGGGTGGGGTCGGACGAGCTTTTCGCATCTCGCACCGCAGAAAGGCGAGCGGCTCCCGCAGGCGCCTCCTCCCGAGGAAGGGAAATCAGCGGGAGTCGTGATATTTCGCACCGACTGTCGCCGCCGAGCGCTCGGGATCGCCGCTAATTCGAGTGCATTAGGTTCGAGTTACATCTTACTCGGGCTGGAGGGCGGCGGGGGGGTGTAAATTCAACGTAAATACACGCTGAGGGCTCCGATTTGAGCAAGCACAAACGGTTCGCCCCCACGCCGCTTCGCCCACTACTTTAGYGAGCGAAAATGTAAGTCTTCAAATGGGTCACCGCCTCAGAAAATACTTAAAACACACACACACACACAAATCAGGAACAATCAGACAGCAGAATTTAATTAGAGCCGCGGGCTAATCGCGAAATATTTTATTCCGAGCCAAATATCGCTGTGGGGGAGGGGGGCCGGGTGGGGGAGGTGGGCATCGTTCCTGCTTCGGCAGCGGCTCCTGCCGCCGCCGCGCTCGGCGCTTGCAACATCTGGCCTACAGACCTACTAATGCCGGCTCGTGATCTCCTTCGGCGGAACTCGGGCTACGTGGATCTGATACCTTCCAAATTGGAAGGGGGGGGGACGAGGGGGGAAGAGGAATTTAACGATCGAGACCAATTAAACCAGAGGGGAAAAAAAAAAAAAAAAAAAAAAGAGAGAGAGAAAAAAAAAGAAAAAAATAAAGGGAGGGGGAGCAGCGAATCCCCTTCTCTCTCTTTCTCTCTCTCTCTCTTCCTCTCCCTCCCTCTCGCTCCCGCTCCCCCACTCCCTCCTCCTCCTCTTCCTCCCCCAGCCTCGCGCTATCTGTTGCTCCCTCTCTCACGGCAGCGGGTGGGGGCGGCGGGGCGGGCTCGCCCTCGCAGCTCCCCATTGTGCCGCTCCCGCGGGCGCGCAGCGCAGCGCAGCAGCGCGCGCCCCGCGC